TTTTTTTGTTCATTTTTTGGTAAAAGATGTTTTTAGGGACCGCAAGAAGAAACGGTATGTGGGAGCATCAGGAGATGGACCGGACAATAAGAAAATACGCACGGAAGACGGCACATGGTTGCCAGCATCCTATAAGACAGGCCGTTATGAAGACTGGAAGAAGAAGCAAAAGCTTGGTTACAAAAAGGTTTCTCAAAAATTCTTCTCATATGTAATTGATACTTTTTTATAAGTTTCCTTTATAGAATGACGGAGATGGTGATGAGCAAGAAGCAGGACCATCGAATGACAACAAATTTGGGCGCTTCAATAAATGGAAAAATGTTAATAAGAAGCAGCAATCGAAGGTTCGTGTCTTTGTTCCGAATTTAGCTCCATTTTTTCCTGTTTCGGTAATTGTATGCTACATCTTCACTATTTGAATTCCTTCACATTAACTGCGCGGACAGATTTTTCGAGAAGCATTACTGATCCCGCGCGAGCTTAATTGTAGATGTTTAAGCCAGTCGTACTAATTTATCCGCTTCGGTGCCACTGCCATATCTTGGTTGAAAGAAGTTGTAAACAGTGATTGATTTTATCCTTCCAGGGCCCGAAATCTGAACTCAGAAACGTCAGCCAAATCAAGAAAATCCGAAAGAAGTCTGCTAAATTGCAACAGTATATGGAACATCGAAGACTGGAAAATCTCAAAAAGAAAGCCGCGCACGCAGGTGGAGGGAAAGGAGGTGGTGGTGGAAAAAGACGAAAATGATGTTTAGCAAAATAATTCCTGTGATTGCTGTCATTTTGATACTTTTGTTAAATCTGATTTCTTTTCTGAAAGATTATCTGGTTTCTATTGTTTTCTTGTATACTACTTGTTAATCTTTGTTATAGTTGTTGATTTACTTGTTATAAACAAATCAAATCAAACGTATATCCAATTGAATTACAGTAAATAATCTGATATTTTTTCCCTCTTCTGAGGATACGATTTAAAACAACATTTGCGCATTTCTTTTATTCTTTTACGGCTAAGAAATTCAAATTATCGTCCATCAGGTGGTAAAATAATCGATGTTTTACAATGCATATAGTTTCTCAGTTTACTATTGTAGTATGGTTTATGAATTCGCCCAGACTCAAAACTTCCCAAAAAGTCAAGCAGTGATAAATCGCTATCTATTCTCTGTCGATAGTTTTTGCAAAATCAACCAACTGAACCCTCTCTGCGAAGAAGTGGAGGGGAGAAAGTAGGAAAGAGAGAGGAACGCTGTTGAATAACGCGAAATTATATGATTATGTCAATATTTCTCTTCATTGGACTCTTCATCACGACGAATGAATGAGGCCCCTCCCTATATTTGCTCTATCTTGCACCCCGCTCTTTCGAGGGGATTCCAAAAATTTGTAAATACTC